TAATACAGGGCTTGGTACATCATAGGTTCACTGTCACGAATGGCAATGGCAGAGACAGGACTCAGCATTCTCAGAGTGGTGCTCTACCCCCGAGACTTGAAAAATATAGCTCTTACTATATTCTCTTGTTTAAAGAGGGCTGTGATTACAGTCATTGTTATGTGGAATTTATTATTCAGAAACAATGTATAGCTGTGGTAATACTTTTAAATGGAATGAACAGTTGTTCTAATTCTTTAAAATGGCCTTCAAACATAGCAGGTAAAATATAAACGAAGTCAAAGGAACTCAAACTTCAAAGAAATTAAACTTTATCTGAGTGCAAGTCACCCAGTCATCACTTTATGATTTTAAAGATTTCTGGTGTTTGAGGATTTTAAGTATTTTTGAGTGAACTAGAATCAGTCGTTGTGCCTGTAATATTTCGTTTATGTTGGTGGGTGAGGAAGGGGTGGGGCTGAGAAATATATTTCAAGCAGCTTCTGAGAAATTCTCAGTCAATAATATCTGCAAGTTTTTCAACTCCTCAGATAATAGTCAGTCAGACGTGGCTTTTACAGGTTCCCACAAGGGGTCAAAAACATAAAAAGAATGAGGTGGTTTCCAGGAGAGTAGTTCCTGGTGATAAGGGGATGGTAAAGAGGTTAAGTTTCAAAGTCTGATTAGAAATTGCAGCTGTCGAATTCAGAACCATTGTCACTGAGGCTTTATAGCCTGCGGATTTGGCCTGCTGTGCATGGGCAGCGGTTCTTGGTTTGTAACCCAGAGCACGGTGGCAATGGAGCACAAAACATAAGCAGCACCTTCCGGGGGGACACTGGGTTTGCTGGAATAATGCTCAGAATTAACCAGCAAGTAAAAGAGTTAAAGCACCAGAATGTAGGAACTCTCGAAACATCCTAGCTGACTAATCGAAGTTATTTTGAAATAGTCCTTCCTGGAGGATTTGGTTCCAAAGCAAGATAACTTTATCCATCACAAGCAAAATAAAACCCTAGCAAGATCAGGACAGTCATGATAAGTGTTATGATAAAAACCCATGACAACATGATCTGTGCAAGAATGTCATATAGGACGGTGCTTTTCACGTTCTCCTGTGCACACGAATCAGCTGGCAGTCTTGTAAAAATGGAGATTCTAACTCAGCAGGTCTAAAGAGGGTCCCAGATTCTGCATTTTAAAACAGCTCCATGTGGCACTGGTACTACCAGTCCTCAGACCAAACTTTGGGTTGCAAAGGCAGTACTTAAGTAAACATGCTGCTCTTTCCTTTTTCATCATAGATCATAAAATTGTCCCGTAATTTTGTCTCTAACAAAATGAATTAATCTGATGTTAATATACATCAAACTCTGATTTCTATCTTCTGCTTAAAAAAAAACTAAAAGAGGAAGATTTCTTCATTAATGGCCTCATGGAAAAAACATTTGAAAAAACTCCATATTGAGTTGTCTTTATTTTAGGGTTGAAAATACTCATGCCATTTATTTTGACGGATGCTCCTGATTATGGAATGAAGTTAAATTAAATCCAGTATGTTGCCTACATACAACAGTAGCATTCAAAAAATGTTTAACTAGAGGTTCTGTAAGAATAGTTGCTTTTGTGGTTAAAATTTGAAAACAAGCACTGCCTGGTTTCGGTATTAGATTATCTTTAGCACAGGACTGTCCCGAGTTTGGAGGTAGCATCTCGGGGTAGTATAAAGCACAAATTCTGAAGCCAGAATTTCTGGATTCTAATCCCAGTTTTGCCACTTACTGACTGTGTGTCTGTGGACATGTGTGTGATGGTTTACTCATCTGTAAAATGGGCCTGCATTCTACAGGTCTTACTGGATGAAGTGAGTTAATATCTGTAAAGCTCTTAGAACAATACATTACAGGATCTATGTAAGCGTTTTTTTAAAAATATATGATTAAAATAAATAATGTATGTGTTAACGTCATATCTTAGTAGCTCAGTGGTTTGGAATCCAGAAAGCCTGTTCTCTTTTTACCAACTAAGACATCCTACACGATTTTCCCAATAAGTAGGTGGTCAGAGAGAAAAGAGACTTCAGCCAAAAAGCTGGGAATCCTGAAATAAAATCCGTGACATTTAGAAATTCGTTCATTTTCCATACTTGGTTAGACTTACCTCCGCCCTTCGGTTTTGCAGTTGGTGATGTATATTGGTCAGGTGGCCAAGGATATCTTGAAGTGGCCCCGTCCTTCCTCCCCTCCCGTTGTGAGGCTGGAAAAGAGAGTGATAGCGGAATACGGAATGCCGTCCACCCACGCCATGGCGGCCACCGCCATCGCCTTCACCTTCCTTATCTCTACTATGGACAGATACCAGGTAAGGCGGCCTGATTCTCCCTCCAGGGTCCAATGCTCCCAATGTAATGAGGCAGCAAATCGAGGTTGCACTTCAGAATTTTCTCTTAAATCTGCTTTGAGGGATTTTAAGCTTTATAAAATAAACACTGAGGGGAACTGAAATCTATTGAGCTGTTGATGGCAATTGCCTCATAAATAAGTGACCATATAATTTAGAATCCAAAAAAGGTTGTGCCTGAGTGTGAATGTGGGCACCATTAATAATGACACCAGGACAACTAGCATGACATGGGTTGTGCCAGGTGACCTGCGTATGTCATCTCCCTGAGCTGCCTGACGAGACAGCACTTAATCGGTGCTCTCATCCTCTGTTTGCAACACGCACAAAGAGTTTGTGGTCCTAGTAAATGATCCTCCAGGGCTGAGATGATTCCACCAAAGCCCTCTGCCAGACTCCCCAGGGCCCAGGGCAGCAAAGAATCTGTGCCCAAATTAGCCTCCCAGGATACCTCGGCCCTGGTTAGAGCTTGGCCACTAGAAATGATGGCTCTTAAGTTTTCTAGAACTGTCTAAATGACAGGAGATTAATAAATGTTGAAAATAGAAGAATTTCACTTAATATCTACTTAAATGCCAATTATAGTAAGAGTTTTTAAAAGTTATATTATTACTGCAGTGAAAGTTTTTCTTTCTCCTATTTGAGACCTATTATGCTGACTTTGTGCTTAATTTCATAAATTTTACCTTTTACCTGTTGGAAGCTTTAGATTTCATTAAATCTCGCAGTCATGTAGGTAAATGGCAGCATTGTTTGCCCTGCTCCGTTACCCCAGAAACCCAGGGACATCCCATACTCCAGGTTGTGCAGAAACGGGGGAGTCAGCCCGACGTGGTTGGCAAGGTCAGACTAGTATAGGGTCCTGCTCTACCACTGTAGCTCTAGACCCCATTTCCTATATCACAAAGGGACATTTATAAGGAATATGTTTCACTAAATATAATCTTTTGTCATAAGCTACTTAAATGTCGTGGATCAGGAGGAGGAGAAGTTGCTTGTTGTGACTTTCAGATTATAGCACCGGCCATCTACTGTGCCCCTTGGTTAAATTGCTTCTTTCTTAAGTTCTAATTTAAGAATAGGTAGAAATAAAATTCATTCAGTCCACTAAAACTGCCAGCCCAGTAGTTATGGTCACGGGTCTTAAGGCCAAGTTCGACTCTCTTATTTGCATGTTTATATGTTGTGGAACTTCCTCCTGGAACTATATTCCTAGGCATCTCCCTGTACTTTCTCTCATTTCCCCATTTAAAAAATGTTTTTAGATAATCAAATTGCTGGTGTGTGGAATGCAAGATTCAGACTAGCAATCACGGCACAACGAATTCTTTTCCCACCTGTGACATCAAATGGCATATGTCTGAGTGTGGCCTAATTTCCTTGTTTCCCTTCTCCCCCCGCAGTACCCTTTCGTTTTGAGGCTGATGATGGCCGTGGTGTTTTCCACCTTGGTGTGTCTCAGCAGGCTCTACACTGGGATGCACACGGTCCTGGTAAGGCTTCGTGGTCGGGTCTTGCAGTGATTGTTTAAATAATATGGCCAGTGTGTTTCTCATGCTACCTATTTGCATATGTAATTATATTTTCATCAGGCCAATGAGTTAAGTAATTATGATGTTAGGGCATCTGCATAATAGTAATGAAACATTGAGGTAATATTAATGAGGCAGAGCTAGGCTAGACCCTCAAGACTTTGACGATGGGTTAAAATGGCAACAGAGACTCAGGTAATTTATTTTCACATTGGTTTACTGATGCTGCAGCAAGTAGTATAGAAATAACACCCGGGGTCAAGGAACCAACCAGTGAGTGGTCACAGTCCCCACTTGGGTTTTTACAGAGATGGGCCTGAGATTCAGGGGTCTCTGCTGCGCTTGCAGGTTAAGGGTCGTGCAAGGTCATAGGAGCCCAGAATCACGGCTTTGCACCTTCCATACCGTTTGAGACTGGAGGGGGTATCGGGAACAGGGAGATATCTACATTTAAAGGTACATCCACCCTGTTACCATATTAGGCATTTTTCCAGGGCTGCCACAGTTATCATGGTTAAAATTACTTAAGAATTCTATTTCCTAATGCATCAGCGGGCTGCCTTGCAGTTGTAGAGCATACAGCTGGCCATGGCTTACCACAGGGGCACTATTATATCATAGCAATTGCTGCACAGAAGATTTCTTTAAAAAGAAATGGGCCCTTGCTCATTGGGTGTTCATCTCAACTGCGAAGCTCAAAAATGAAGTTAGCAAAAGACCTGGGAGGGAAAGGCCACCATGCTTCACGGGCCTTCTTGCTTCTCTCCCGGATGCCCAGCATGGATTTTCATGAGAGGGGTGGAGAGAAGGGGGCAGAGGGGCAGAAGAAGCAGAGCAAACAGATTTAAGGGTATCATTTGTCAAAATGAGAACAGGCGAGAACTGAGGGGAGGTAAACCCAGAGAGCGTGACATCGTGCTTTCCTCTGAACACGCAAAGGGTGTTTAGAGGGGTGCTAAAAACTCAGTAATCAAGATACATAATTTTAATGCAATTTTTTTAAAAATCAAAATTAACGCCTCCGAAAACCAGATGAACAAAATATTCAGATTTTAAGTAGACAAGATCTGCCCCTGCCTCGCCTGACTCCCCTAATCCTGGCACTGACCAGTGGACTGTTTGGGTGAGAGGGGTCCCAGATCTTGGAAATACTAACAAGCAGTGAAGGGCCAATCCTATTCTTCTACCCATGGGGCGCATCCCCACTGTCCCAATCCCGTCTTGTCCTGGGCTGGTGGCTGCTGAGAGGAAGGGGAGGAGGAGAGCGCATTCTCAATTGCTACACTACTGCTTCGCATGACAAAGAGCTTCTCTCCAAATGTGTCCAAGGACTTCAGTGTGGAATTAAGGAGCACTCTCTCGGGTGTTTTGGCATTTCTTTTAACTGGGCCTACTTTTTAATTTCCATCGGTTTTAATAAAATAATGATTTGGGGAACTCACGTTAAAATTAAAGCCAAAGTAAACACAAGAATGTAGAGCTACAGACATGAATAAAGAGCCCACAAAACCCACCTCAGTAAAAATACAGTTACGTTTTTTTCTTCTCTTTTTAAAGTGGGTTATGGGGATGGGGGATGAGATATTTGCGGAAAGATAGATCAGAGGCAAGGAGTGAGTACAGCTACTCTTTCTGGAGCATCTGTCCCGGAAGAAACTGGAGCAACAGGCCACAGCAACCGTGGGACCCAGGGCTTCTTTCTCACTCGTGATTTTACTTCATACAGCTCTTAGACCCTGACTCAGGCTACAGACCAGAGCGTGGCCCAGGGTGCAATGGTACATGATTTCTAGTAGCAGGAGGAGATGATTGGTTTTAAAAGTAGGATAAAATTAAATGATGGATTAGCAATCTTCTTTATTCAACAGTCACTTAAGAAGTTCCTACCGGGTGACAGGCTGGGAGCTAGATCTGGGAGACATTGTGGTAAACAGACATACCCCACCCTCTTGGGTCTCCAGTGTATTCGCTGCTGACTACTTGACATGATGAGCACTGTAATTAGCATGGAACAACTGGACTGAGCCAGCTGAGGTAGCTCGTCTCTTCCTTGGACCCCTCACAATCTCCAGGGACTGCCCTGGGTAGTGGCTCTCAACCAGAGCTGCAAAATCAAATCCTGTGGAAACTTCTAAAACATCTCAAGAGATGTTTGTACACCCATATGCAACATTATTCACAATAATGCAACATTAGTGACAATAGCCAAAAGGCAGAAGTAACCCAAGTGTTCATCGACAGATGAATGGATAAACAAAATGTGATATACAGGCATGACTTGGAGATATTTCGGGTTCAATTCCAGACACCCCAACAAAACAAATACTGCAACAAAGTGAATATCACAATAAATCAAGTGCCACAAACTTTTTGGTTTCCCAGTGCTTGCTGCATTGATTGACTCTTGCAAGAGTGAGACTCTGGCTCAAAAAAAAAGAGATCACTTTCTTTGTTCATCTGTAAGAAGCAACACCTCATCCATTCAAGTTTTATCATGAGATTACAGCAATTTATTCATATCTTCAGTCTACATTTCTAGTTCTCTTGCTATTTTTCACACATCTGCTGTTACTTCCTCCACTGAAGTCTTGAACCCCTCAAAGTCATCCATAAGGGCCGGAATCAACTTCTTCCAAATTCCTGTTAATGTCGATATTTTAACCTCCTCCAATGAATCACAAATGCTCTTAATGGCATCTAGAATGGTGAATGGTAAATCCTTTCCAGAGGTTTTCAATATGCTTTGTTCAGATCCGTCAGAGGGATTAACTGTCTATGGCAGTTACAACCTTACAAAATGTATTTCTTAAATAATGAGACTTGAAAGTCGAAATTACGCCTTAATCCATAGGTGGGCTGCAGAATGGATGTTGTGTTAGCGGGTGTGATATCCATCTCCTCGTATATCTACATCAGAGCCGTTGGGTGATTAGGTGCATTGTCAATGAGCAATAGTCTGAAAGGAATTTTATTTTCTGAGCAGTAGGTCTCAAATGTTCAGTAAACCATGCTATAAACAGATGTGCCGTCATCCAGGCTTTGTTATTCCATTTACAGAGCACAGGCAGAGCAGATTTAGCATCATTCTTAAGGGTCCTAGGATTTCAGAATGGTAAATGGGCATTGGCTTCAACTTAAAGTCACCAGCTGCTTTAGACCCTAATAAGAGGGTCAGCTTTGTCCTTTGAAGCTTTAACTTCTCCTCTTTAGCTATAAAAGTTCTAGAAGTCATCTTCTTCCAATAGAAGGCTGTTTCCTCTACATTGAAAGTCTATTGCTTAGTGTAGCCACTTTCATCAATTAATTCTTCAATTAATTGCTGAGAATTGAAGAGGGTTAGGGCCTTGGCTTAAGGGAATGTTGTGGCTGGTTTAATCTTCTATCCAGACCACTAGAACTTTCTCTATATCAGCAATAAGGCTGTTTGCTTTTTTATCATTCATGTGTTCACTGGAGTAGCACTTTTAATTTCCTTCAAGAACTTTTCCTTTGCATTCACAGCTTGGCCGTTTGGCATAAGAGGCCCAGCTTTTGGCCTATCTCAGCTTTCAATATACCTTTCTCACTGAGCTTAATCATTTCTAGGTTTTGATGTAAAGTGAGAGACATGCAACTCTTCCTTTCATTTCAACACTTAGAGGCCATGGTAGGGTTATTCACTGGCCTAATTTCAATAGTCTTGTGAGTCAGAGAATAGGGAGGCCTCAGGAAAGGGAGAGAGATGGGGGAATGGCTGGTCAGTGGAGCAGTCAGAACACACACAACATTGGTCAATTAAGTTTGTCATCTTATATGGGAGTCATTTGTGGCACCCCAAAACAATTCCTTTGGTAATATCAAAGATCACAGATCACCATAACAGATATAATAATAATGAAAACGGTTGGAATAGTGTAAGAATTACCAAAGGGTGACACAGAGACACAAAGTGAGCTCATGCTGTTGGAAAAATGGCATCGATAGACTTGCTGGGCACGGGGTTGCCACAGACCTTCGATTTGTAAAAGCAGTATCTGTGAAGCACAAAAATTAAAGTGCAGTGAAACAAGATATGCCTACACACCTGCAATGGACTATTACTCAGCCTTAAAAAGGAAGGAAATTCTGGCACATACTGTAACGTGAATAAACCTTGAAGACATTATGCTAAGTGAAATAAACCAGTCATAATAGGACAAACATTGTATGATTCCACTCACACGAGGTATCTGGAGCAATCAACTTCATAGAGACAAAAAGTAGAATGGTGGTTGCAGGGCTGGGGAGAGGCAGAAATGGGGAGTTAACTGTGCTCACTTCGGCAGCACATATACTAAAATTGGAACGATACAGAGAAGATTAGCA